ATTGTTGTCACTATCACGTCCGCATACGAGAAATTGCCGGATACAGAGCTTCAAAGAAACGAACCTTGATGAAATGGAAATATTCTTTGGCCTTTGTTTGTTACAGTCTCAAATAAAGACGCCTAAAGTTCGTTCAAACTGGTCAAGCAATCCATTATATTACCATCCGATTTTCGGGGCATCAATGACGGGGCGCAGATTTGAACAGCTTTTGCGTTGTTTGAACTGTGAATCCGTAGCAATAAATGACAGACTATCTAAGATTTTCGACCTTCTGAAGCTTGTAAATGGTTCGTTTCAAACCGTATATAAGCCTGGGAAAAATTTATCATTAGATGAGTCAATGATGCTGCATCGCGGAAGATTAAGTTTTCGGCAATTTATAAAATCAAAAAAAAATAAGTATGGGATTAAATTCTACGAACTTTGCACACATGATGGCTATGCTCTCAATGTAGACATATATAAAGGCAAAGTATCACATGAGACTCATTCCTTATCCGTAGTGGATTCTGTGGTTATGAGTCTAATGAAACCATATTTATCGAAGGGCTTTTCATTATTTATGGACAACTACTATAATAGTATCGGACTGAGCAATCGATTATTCAGTTTTAAAACTCATACCACTGGAACTTTACGTACCAATCGCAAAGGGAATCCAAAAATCATAACGCAAACAAAATTGAAGAGAGGAGAACATATATGGAGAAGACAAGGCAACGTGTATGTTAGTAAGTGGAAAGACAAACGAGATGTACTTTGTATAACAACAGAAAATCATCCCAAAATAATTAACGTGCAGAATAAACATGGCGTTTGGACAAAAAAACCGATAGAGGTAGCCAATTACAATGCAAATATGTCGGGCATAGACAGATGTGATCAGATGATATCATATTATTCCTCACCTAAAAAATCTATCCGTTGGTACAAAAAAGTAATATTCCGTTTGCTAGATATTTCTGTATGGAATTCTTATTACATTTATAAAAAGATAAATGATTCAAACATTGGTTTTCTCGATTTTCGAGACCAGTTAATAAATACGCTTCTAAAAATACCGCAAAATTCAAGTGGACGTAATTTCGTGCTTGAAAATGCCAACCCACAAACGCATGTTAGGTACAACCCAACAACAGATTTTCGAGATGCACATTATCAGGAAAAAATTCCGCCACCACCAAATTACAAGCGTAAAACGTATTTTCTAAAATGCAAGTACTGTTATAGGCAGAAAATAATTAAATTCACATCACACCGATGTCAGGATTGTACAAATAAACCTCCACTGTGTCCTGGACAGTGCTTCCGACAATGGCATTTACCTCCTGCAGATCAAAATAACTCCAGTAGTTCGGATATGGAGTTTTAA